CCTGAACTCAGTCGCCAGCAGGGAGGAAGCCACGTGCCAGCCAGACACGGTTTCATGTGGACGGGAAGGCCACCGGTGACTCCCCTTCTCTCCTGAGAATCAGTGTGGGGAGAGCCCAGGTGTCCCCTCCCCTCCTCGGGCACCCGAGTCTGTGTCACTGCAGAGTCTCCCAAAGTGAAAGGTCGGTCCAGGGATGCCAGAGAACCCTCAGACCCATTGCAGGGGCCCTTCCTGACTGTTCGCCGAAAAGCAGGTAGATTCCCAGTGGACACTCAGTGTATTTTTTCTGGACAATCTGACAATGGGCTAAATTTGTAAGTGCAGGAATTTGTTGAATCCTCACTCCCCTTCTCACTGGGTGACGCTGGGCAAGTCGTTCACCCTCTCTGAGCCTCGGTTCCTGCCCGGGGGCTGTAAGTGGGACCCCAGGAGAACGGAAGAGCCCAAGGGCCCCGAAAAAACGCTTGTTGGAAAGGGTGTTTGCAGCCCTACTGCTCACTGCAGCCTGAGTCACAGAGACAACCATGCACCACCTCAGGGCCCCCGACAGGAGGCAGGGGAAAGAGGCTGCAGTCGCGGGCACCTTCTTCAGCCTCGTCACACCTGAGCACCTGCAGGCCGAAGGCCACTGCTTTGTAACGAACACGACTCTGTCCTTACAGGTGGGAAAATGTGGGCGCGGAGATTGCTCGGGTAGGGGGTGGAATGGAGGTGTGGCATGCTGGCGAGTTGGATCCCAGCAAAGCAAGGACTCCTGAGCACTGCTGGTGTAGCCTGGCAAAGCCCAGCACCACTAGGCCCGAGCACTGGGTCCATCAGAACTGAACTGCGGGGCCGTGTGTCATTAATGTGACCCTTGGGACCTCAAGATAAACTCATGCCCTTTGCGACGAAACAAAACAGAGGGAAATCACGCGGAGCACAGTCGGGAGGTGAAAGCCAGGACGGGGTGGGACTGCAGAGATCACTCAAGAAAACCCAAAACGTGAACTCAGAGACTGTGAAATCAATGCTGGTTCTAGGAAGGGCCGGGAGGAAGGTGAGATAAAGGGCCGAGGGGGTCTTTAGGAGGTGGGAGGACGCTGGAACTCTGGGGATACCTGGAAGGCATCTTAGATCCCTGGGAGGTGCAAAGACAAATGCCATCCTGTGGTTGACCACTGATCACCACTCTCAAAAAGTGGGTCGCTCTCCGTTAGATGGTTTTCCCTCTGTTATGTTTGGTAGGATTTTTTTTGGGGGGGGTCTTGATGTTTAATCTACTTTCCCACCAGCCACTGCATGAGCTGGTGAGGATTCTGCATCTCCCCCCGACCCCCGCACTCCCACGCCTACCAGTGCTCTGCAAAGAGAGGGCATTAACTCGCGTCTTATGAGATGACGCGTGGGCAGACAGAGACATGGGAACAGCGTTGGGGGGGGTTCATGGGGGGCTGGCTGAGCGTGTGGCCAGCTAGCTGGGCAGGTGGAGGACAGACAGGTGCTAGGCAGGCTCATGAGGGGCAGGCGAGTGATGATGACCTCAGGGTAGAGGGCACAAAGGAGGGTGGGGGGCAGTCGTGGAGGTTGGGCGGCTATCCTCCGGACCACCCGGCAAGGCTGTGGGGTGAGGAGTCCTGGGTCTCCGCCCCGCCCCCGCCTCGGCTTCCTGTGTTCTCTAGGTCCAGTTACCACCTGTCTCTTACCCTTGATTGCAAGGAAGGCGAAATCAATGGAGAGAAACTTCCTCTCCCCATGAAGATGCCTGTCACTGTCACTGTCCTCCCGTTGTTCATCGATTTGCTCGAGCGGGCCCAGTAACATTGTAAGACTTGTTACTGTGTTTGGCAGATCGAATACGTCATGGGGAGCTTGCCAGGCTTTGGCGTGCGAGCGAGATACTCTCGGTAGCTTGCTGGGCTCTCTGAGAGGGGCGGAGGAATCGAACTCAGGTTGGCCACGTTGGCTGCGTGCAAGGCAAACTCCCTACCCCCTGTGCCATCGCTCCAGCCCACGAAGATGCCTAGAAGTCCCAAAGAGGAGGGGCCGGGGGTGGACATGCCCAGGTCCCTCCCGTGTGACCTCGGGGAGGTCACTGCGTCACTCAGAGCCTCGGCTACCGTTCTAGAAGGTGGACAGGGGGAGGGAGTCTAAGGCAGGAGCCTCGACCACATTCTTGCTTCTGTTTCTTGATTCAAGAGGAACTGCCCTAGATAGGGGAGGCAGGAACTTGCTTCCTGGCCCCTCCTGGGCCCGGCCACCCCCCCCCACCCTCACCCAGCAAGTAAACCCGGGGCTTGCCGAGTGCGGGCTCAGAGCAGCTGGCTGGAGGCTCCGCACAGCAGTCAGGAGACGGTAGGATGGCAGATCAGGGCCACGGCTAGGACTCACAGATATCTTGTCCCCAAGCCCTCGCCTGCTCCTCTGGAAGATTCTTCTAAGGACAGTTCCTGGGACCTCAGTTTCCTCGCCTGTGGATGTCGGGGGGAGGGAGGGACCCCGTGGCTCTCAGCCGGGCCTTCTTCTCCAACACATCCCAGTTCCCACATCCCCAAGCGCTGCCTCTGGGGTCAGCCAAGGCTACCGCCTCCGGCCAGTCTTGGTCTCAGTCACGGACCAGCTGTGTGACCTTGAACTTGAAAGGACCATTGATCATCCACTCAACCCTGACTGCCTCAACCCCAAGTGTCTGCTGGGCGGGTTCCCGGGGGCCCTTCTGCAGGCCTTCAGGGATTTTGTGTCAGCACCTGGCTGACACCTGGCAGATACCAGACCCCTTTCCTTGACCGCTGACCCCCGGTTCTCTGATGCTTCGCTCTCTCCTTCCTGCCTGCCCCGTCTTCAACCTCGGATCAGCCTTCTTATCCTTGGCTTGCTTCCTGCACCCCCTCAGGCCCAGCTGGGGAGACAGCGGTGAGGTCACCAGCTGGGTTGGGGACCGGGGAGGGGGACGGAGTGGGGGGCGGGGACAGGAAGACATTTGGTGGGCGTGGCCTGTTCAGCTCCTCCCAAGTAGCCGTCCACCAGGTGGAAGGGTCCAGGCCACAGCGAAACCCTCGGTGGGAACAAGGACGGCCCCAACAGGAAGTCAGTAGCAGCCCCCCCCCCCCCCTCAGGAGGAGCCACAGCTGGTTGGAATTTGCTCCCGTTGTCGGCTTTCCCAAAGACAGAATGAACTTCTGGCTCACCCCACCCCCGCTGCCTGGCCTGGCCTAGCCTGACATGCCCACAGGCCTGGAAGGGCAAAGGGGGGTGGGGGGAAGAGAGGAGTGGACAGGCGTCCAGGAGTCGGAGCCTCCAGGAGCTGGTGGTCATCACGTGGGACCTTCCTGAGCCTTGGCAGCGCTGGTGACGTGGGGAGCAGCGGGCTGGGGGCTGGGGTGAGTGCCAGGGTTAAAGCTCTCCCTTTGGCACTTACTCGACCCAAGATTGCTCAAGCATCCGCAGGCCCCAGGCCCGTCCCGAGCGGAGACCAGGGGGAGGGGGAGGAAAACGCTCCCTAATGAAGTGTGAGTGCAGCAGCCCTGGCCCCTGGTGACCTGCCCCTGCGGCAGAGGCCACACAGCTGTGGGCCGGGCCTGTCCGAGAGTTGGCTCGGCAGCCAAGGGGCTTGGGAGAGAGCTGAATGCTGATGCCCAGGGCCCCGCACCGCTCCCACCAGGCTTGGCCCCATTCTGCTCACGCTGTCTGTGGCAGCCGGGGTCTCGCAGTGTGTCCCATGCTTTCTGAAAACTGCTTACAAAGCTGACTTGGAAGTCCTCAACGTGCTTCCCGCAACCCGCCAAGGAGTCATGACTTATGGTCAACACGTCCCCGGGACTCTGCCAGGTTGCTGTGACCGGCCCGAGGTCACATCACTGCTGGCCTTGGTGGAGACCATCCCGGGGCTCCATGAGCCCAGGGGAACCAGTGAGTCAGAGTGAAGTGCTTCCGGGAGGCAGTCTCAATCAGGGAGGCGCTCTTTATAGTCTAGAATATTCTCGACAGATCCAGGCTCCATAAAAGAATTCTTTTGGCCGAGGAGGCCTCGGGTTGGGCTAGACACGGGTAAGTGCTTTCCCTGTCCACGTCTCGGCCTAGAAAGAGACGGGACAGTGACCCCGAGTCCCCCGGGGGTCAGCGTGGAGGTTAGCCAGACTCCAGAGCGGCTTTGCCTAAAGTGGGGAGCCCCGACACCCTCCCGGGGGCCGCGTCCTGCTGCAGGGTCTGAGGAATTGACAAGGGGGGCCCCACCCCTATTTCCTGTCTCTGCTCTGAGCACCTCCCAGCAGAGCAGCAGGGAAGCGGGGGGCACCGGCCAAGTCAGGGGGAGCGAAGGCACAGGGAGAGAGACGCGGGGTCCGGGGGTCCCCCAGAGGTGTCTCCTCTCCTTCCTCCAGGCCCCATATTCCCACACCCTCTGGTTCTCACAGAGCCCCCTTCCTGCGGCCCACAGGGCTTGTGCCGTGTCTCTCCAGCGGATCTGAAAGCCAAGGGTGTGGTCTGGGGGGTCCTGGGGCCTCAGGGGTCACCTCCCCCTACCCCCACCCCCGCAGAACCTCACAATGGAACCGGTGGAGGCTGGAGAGGCGGAAAGTGTGGGCCACTGTGGGTACAGACATGCAAAGTGTGCAAGTTTGCTGTGACCTGGTCGGCTCACGCAGTTAGGCCAGGGCTGGAGTCCATCCCAGGAGGCACAGAACAGGGTCCTTCAGTCCCTTCTCTTCTGCCCACCCCAGGTCCTGCAGGCATGCCGGACGGTCCTCCGTGGTTGGCTTTGCATCGGTCGAAGGCAAATCTTTACGAGGCGTGAGGCGCCGGCCCAGGGCAACCCGGACGAGGCGTGCTCTGTCTGTCGTGCCCAAGAAAAGGGGGTCTCAGCTCTGCCCACCCGGGCCCAGCACTGTTCAGCCCCCACCCAGTGAAGAGCACATCGGGCCCGGGAGGAGACATTCCGCCGTGCTCCCGAGAGGGCTCAGCGTTGGCGCCCGGGAACGTGGTGGGTGGGGGGTGTCTTCTGCAGGGGGGGGCTTCCCGGGGGCGGCTCAGAGCACGCCGGTCTCTCGCTCGTTCACGGAGGACCGCTCGTTCACGGAGGACATCTTGGTGAAGCTCCGGTGGCTGGGGTAGGAGGAGTGGCCGGTGTCCTCGCTCAGCGCGTTGACCAGGCGGGAGAGGAGGGCCACCTTGAACTTCTTGAAGTCCTGCCCCATGAAGACGTAGAGGATGGGGTTCACGCAGCTGTTGGCCATGGCGATGGCGGTGGCCAGCGGCAGGCCCAGGCTGAAGACCAGGCCGGGCAGGGCGCGGTGGTGCAGCTCCAGGAGGTAGAGCGTGTGGTAGGGGCACCAGCAGAGGAAGAAAGTGACGATGATGGTGACGATGATCTTAAAGGGCTTCTTGTTCTTCGCCAGGCGGTTCCGGCGCAGCTTGCAGACGATGGTGGCGTAGCAGACGGAGATGATGAGGACGGGGACCAGGAAGCCGCAGAGGAAGCGCGTGACGGTCACCACCAGTTGTCGGCTGAACCCCACGGTGCCGGGGGCGGCGTGGCCAAGCCCCGGGGGGGCGGGGGCGGCCGACAGGCTGAAGTTGTTGAAGCAGGAGACCCTCCCGTGCATCAGGGCCGTGTCCCGGAAGACGAGGGACGGGGAGCTGAGGAAGAAGGCCAGGACCCAGATGAGCAGGCAGGCGGTATAGGCCAGCCGCACGCTGCGGTGGTTCTGGGCCCACACCGGCAGCAGCACCGAGACGCAGCGGTCAAAGCTGATGGCCGTGAGCAGGAAGACGCTGGTGTACATGTTGTGGATGACCAGGAAGTTGCTGATCTTGCACATGGCCGTGCCGAAGACCCAGTGGTAGTCGAGGGCCGTGTATGCGATGTGCAGCGGCAGGAAGAGGTTGAACAGGAAGTCGGCCACCGCCAGGTTGAGGAACCACACGGTGTTCACCGTCCGCTTCATCTTGAACGTGGCGATGACGATGACCACGCCGTTGCCCAGGATGCCCAGGAAGCAGATGAGGCTGTAGATGACCACCAGGAAGATCCTGGCCGCCCTGCCTTCGCGGGGGGACATGTCCTCCAGTACCAAGATGGCGTCGTCATAGTCCGTGTCGTAATACTCAGTCGAGTTGTTCTGATAATCTTCCTCCATCTCTGTGAGTAGAGAAAGGGGCCGTTAGCGGGCACTGGACTGGAACTAGCTGAAAGGCTGAGCACCAAGACCAACAATGGAGGAGGAGAGGAGGAGGAAGAAGAAGAAGAGGAGGAAGAGAAGGAGAAAAGGGGGAGGAGGAGAAGGAGGAGGAAGAGGTGGAGGAAGAGAAGGAGAAAAGGAGGAGGAGGAGAAGGAGGAGGAAGAAGTGGAGGAAGAGAAGGAGGAAGAGAAGGAGAAAAAGGAGGAGGAGGAGGAGGAAGAGGTGGAGGAAGAGAAGGAGGAAGAGAAGGAGAAAAAGGAGGAGGAGGAGGAGGAAGAGGTGGAGGAAGAGAAGGAGGAAGAGAAGGAGGAAGAGAATGAGGAAGAGGAGGAAGGGGAGGAGGAGGAGGAAGGGGAGGAGGAGGAGGAGGAGGAGGAGGAGGAAGAAGAGGAGGAAAAGAGGGGAAGAGGTGGGAGGAGAGAGGGGGGATGGGGGGCGAGGGGAGGAGCAACCCCCCGTCCCCACCACCCACAGGCCCTGAACGGAGTCAGACCAGTGTGAAGTTTCTCCCACTTTCTACGCTGCCATTTTATTTCTCAAACCAGCACCCCAACAGGTGCCACTAACGCCTGATCCTCGCAACAGCCCCAAGCGGTGAGGAGGTCAAGAAGCCCATTTTGCAGAGGACACCGAGGCCCAGAAAGCATGAGTCTCTTGCCCCAACCCTACAGCTAGAGCCGGTTGTCCCGAGACCACGTGTAGCCGCCCGCCTTGGGGCGTCATGAAGACTGCACGCGGTGCCTCGGGTGGGGACACAGCACTGCCACAAGGCACAGCTGCCAGGACTTGCCGGGGGCACGGACCCCTGGGGAGTCTGGAGGCAGTGCAGTGTGTGTGTGTGTGTGTGTGTGTGTGTGTGTGTGTGTGTGTGTGTGGTGGCGGGAGGTCCCAGGCCTCCATGCGCAATGCCTGCACTCAGCCTGTCCATCTCTCAGCGCCCCTGGGGGTGCCCTGCCTGAGACGCCCTGCCCAGGGAGAAGCGTCCTGGAGGATTCAGCGTGGGCACAGCACTGAGAAATGGGGCTGCCCCCACCTTGTCCGCTGAAGCTCTGCCCCCCCGCCGGGCGCCCCCATCTCCCCTTTCCGTCGCCACGGGGGGCATGCAGCGGCCCATCAAAGGCATCAGCCCCCCCACCCTGTGCAGACACAGGGGTCTGCTGTGCTTCTGTCCATCCTTCTGTCTCCAACAACTTCGACTTCCCTAGGGTTGCAGTGTTTCAGTTTGGTGAGGCGGGCGGGGGGGAGGGGGCGGGGTCCATGAGCATCACGTGGCTGCCCACACGCCATGCTGGGGGGTCCCGGGCACGGGGCTGGACGTGGCTGTCCCTCCAGCCGGGAAGGCTGCAGGTCGGTGCGACGGGTGTGTGCTCTGGCTCTGTGTCCGCTGGACTGGAGAGCATCTCCCCACCCTGCCCGCGGCCCCGGGGCCCCTCTTCCCCCAACCGCTCGGGCCTCGGCCTCACGCTCCCGTCTCCTGGGGCCTCTCCAGACACTCACCACTCTGCTTGCACAGCCATCTGGCGACGGTCAGGGGCACGCGGGGAGGACAGTCTGCCAACAGCTGGGCGCCATCGCAGCCAGGCAGGCAGGCAGGCAGGCAGGCGTGTCCAGGGCCAGCCACACCCCCCTTCCTGCCCCCGTCCCCCCAGGGAGTTGAGGGGAATAATGAGCTGTCCGGGCAGGGCTCCCGGGTTCCTCCTGTGACCCTCACTCATCCCAGAGTCAGCTCGGGGGCTCCCGGGTCCGGCCTCTCCACAGCTGGTCTCCCTCTGGGGTCAGTTCATAGAGGGGGACTGGGGGACTGGGAGCAGGGTGGGGATCATGCTTGTCACCTGGGCTGCTTGCTACTACCCCCTGCCCACTTACTGGACCTCGGTTGTGCAACCTGCACACAGAAAAGCTCATCTTTGGGCCCGCCTGCTTCCCGGGAAGGCTGGGGAGGACAGGACCAAAGCATTAAAGATGCACTTTGGGGTCTGGAGCGATAGCACAGCGGGTAGCCCACTTGCCTTGCACACAGCTGACCCGGGTTGGATCCCCTGCATCCTATAGGGTCCCCCGAGCACCGCCAGGAGGAATTCCTGAGTGCAGAGACAGGAGTGAGCCAAGAGCATCACCAGGTATGGCCCCCAAAGCCAAAGCCAATTTTTTTTTTGCTTTTTTGGGTCACACCCAGCGATGCACAGGGGTTCCTCCTGGCTCGTGCACTCAGGAATCACTCCTGGTAGTGCTCGGGGGACCATATGGGATGCTGGGGATTGAACCCTGGTCGGCTGTGTGCAAGGCAAACGCCCTACCCGCTGTGCTATCGCTCCAGCCCCAAAACCAAATTTTAAAAGACGCGCTTTGGGTATCAGAACTCAGAGGTGGTGACCCTCTTGTGTGGAGACAGTTGCGGGGGCCTGTCCCAGGCTCCCCCCACAGGGTTGGGGTCGTCCTGACCATCTCACCACCCCCCCACCCCCTCTTTAGAGGCTCAAGGTCAGGAAAATGCAGCCCTGTTCTCAGGATATCAGCACAAGCACTTGGGACTGGGGGATGGCAGGGACACCCCCAAACCCAACCCCTTGCCAAAGTGATGAGCCGAGAAACACAGATGAAGTCACAACTGGTCACACACTGTCGCTGCAACCCCCGGGGGTCAGTAGTTGAGGGTCATTTTGGGTTCCACGAACCTCCGTGAGCCTTGCAGCCCTGTCAGCATTTGCAAGACAGTGGTGGGGTCTTTACTTCCGTACTCCAGAGGCAAACTTCAAGTTCTTGATTTATTAGGGAAAAGTTCCAGGGAAAAAAAAAGTCAAGGGGTGGAGGAGGAGGTTGAGGAAGGGGAGGAGGGCCAGGGCAGCCCCAAAGTCCCAGGGAGATGTCCTGGCCGGGGGCCAGGGCGCAGGGAACAATGGAGGTCACGTTCCCAGAGGCAGAGTGTCAACGGCCTCCCAGCCAGCCTGGGTACAGGGTGTGGGTTGCGTCCCAGCCTCGCCCAGTCTTGCAGTGAGAGCCCCTAGTGGGAAACTGTGCCGAGCGAGAGGCTGCCAGAGACCTGTGTGCAGGCCAAGCCAGGGCCCTGGGCGCTGGGGGCTGGAGGTCACTGAACACCCGACCGGGGGAAGGGGACCACACATGCTCACGGTGCTTAGAAGCCTTGGACGGGGGCAGGGGAGGGCTAGAGCCATGGCACAGCGGGAGGGCATTTGCCTTGCACGTGGCCGGCGCTCGTCCATGGCCACTGCCCAGATGTGCTGTCGGCATGAGACTCTGCTGAGTCACACCGGTCAGGGTCGGGTAGGGAGCGTTTGCTTGGGGAGGCTACGGTGAGGTGGGCAGGGAACTCGGGGGGCTCCGGGGAGGGGACTAGCATGTGCTCAGAGGGGACTGTGGTTGCCAGGACCCCCTCGGCCAGCCCCGCCCCCAGGGAGAAGACAGCGCAGTCAGTCCAGCCCCCTGCCCCCTCAGACCACCTGTCCCCCATGGCAGACCGTGATGGGGGACGGGTGGGGTCAAGGTCACACCCGGTGCCCCCAGAGAGCAAAACCCTTTATGAAACAAGCCTGGCCGACACCCTTACTGCTTCCCAAGGCCAGAGGGGAAACTGAGGTGGAGGGAGGCGAAGGAGCGAGTCGGAAGCCCAGGTACCCCACCCCCACCCACCCCCAAGTCCGAACGGCCCCTTTGGACGGAGGAGGAAGCTCAGACCGGGCTGGAGCCTGCAAGGCTGCCCTCCTCACCTGCCTCCTCAGAATATTCTAGAAGCCTGTGGTCTCTGTGTGACGGCCTCAGAACCCCAGCGAGCAGGGAGCAGGGCTGGCCGGCACGTTTGACAGGCGGAGCCCGACTGAGCGTTGTCCCCCCTCTTCCTCATCTGGGCGTCCGTTGGGGTCCCTCGCACTGTCTGGTCCCGGCTGCCCCTGGGGGAGCACCCCCTGCTCCTCCATCCCCCTCCCCCTCGGCCCCACCCCTGGGACCCAGCAGCTCCTCCCTCCCGCGTCAGCCCCCCCTCTCGCTCCCCAGGCCCACCTCTGGCCAGAGTGGCGGGTGCTCCCTGCGCGGGCCTTATCAGGGCCCGTGGGCGTGGGAACGGGCTGAGGAAACTGGAAACCCGCCCCTCTGCCTTGGCCCAGATCCCCACTCCCCCGCCCGTCCCCAAAACCAGCCCCTTCTTCTCCTCCAACCTCTGAAAGGCTGAGGATGGGCCCCCCAGGAGGAGGATCCTGTTTTAGCTGGGAAAACCGAGGTCCCGGGAGAGGCCCTTCCCCCAGCGCCCAGAAAGGGACCCGGGATGGGCCTGCGGGCCCTGTGCCCTCCCGAGGCCTGGAGCTCAGCCTGCGCTGCCCACCCCCTGCCCGCTGCTGCTCTCCCCAGAGACCGGCCAAGGGAGGCGTGCTCGGAGAGAGGGGGCAAGCCCAGGTCACATGGCCAGGACTGGAACCCAGGTCTGGCTCCTTCACCTCGCCCAAGATCCCAGCCTCTGCCCCTGTGGGGTCCCCCCTCACCACTCCTCCAGCCCCCCCCGCCCCCCCCCCGCACATCCTCATCTTTGCAGGTCGGCCCACAGCTTGAACTCATCCTCCGGGGCGGACGAAAGGAGGTTCTTCACAGACACGCACACACACACACACACACACACACACACACACACAGACATACTCTCTCTCACACACACTCACAGCCACTCACACACTCACTCACACACTTACAGACTCACACACACACACATTCACACACTCACACATGTACTCACACACACACACACACACATAGACATTCTCTCACACACACTCACATACTCACCCACTCACAGCCACTCACACTCACACACGTACAGACTCACACACACACTCACACACATTCACACACTCACACATATACTCACACACTCACACACATTCACACACTCACACATATACTCACACAAACACACTCACACACACACTCACACCCGCTCACAGCCACTCACACACA